GGTGTAGCAGCTGGGTTACTTCTCCGGCGAGTATGCGGTGTCCTCGTTTCCGGCGACAACAACTGCGGCCTCTCTCTCCTCCCTCCGGCATGAGCGCAGTCCGGCGAGCTTCGGCGACTTCTTCTCCTCCGGCTTTCATCGATCCTCCGTTCTTCTTCCTCCTTCTTGCGATGACGGCCAATGAGTTCTATTCGTTCTTTCGCAAAGTTGGTGTATGGTTGTTTGGCTTTTTGTGCGCAGGGAGCTTAGGCGTGCGGAAGTAGTGTGTTCGTCCGTCTATGCATATGCGGCGGACATATGTGAAGGAATTTTCGCAAGGTATGATACGGCATCTGTATATGTATATATAAGGTACTCCGTATATAGTTACGTAAGAGTATAATTCTATATTATTACGTAATTACGTAGTTAGAAGTATAATAGGAGTATAATTAGGTAGTAAAAATACGTACGTAGGTATTTTAGTTTAGGTTTAGAAAATTATACTATGTATTATTGTACAGTCCCACCGTATTATTTTATACGTTACATCTATTATCGGACCATTTTTATCTGACTAAAAATGTCGTAAATGTAAATTTTCTGTCTGGTTTACTTGTTTATTAAAAATGTTGTTCCTATTACTGAAATATTTTTATCTGACTAAAACGTCATAAATTTTGAAATTTTATCTGTTTAGAATTTTACAACTGTTGTATTTTATTTTATTATTTTTTTGTCTGACTCAATTAATAATTAAAATGTTATTTTCGTAATATTTTATCTGACTAAAAATTATTTTTATTTTTTTTTTATTTAAAATTTTGAAGTGTCACAATGGGACACAATTTGAGGCAGCCCCCTTCTGTGCCCTTCTGGAGGCATGAGGCATCAAACACACCTTCTCCTCCGTTGCCTACCCTCAAGGCAACGGGCAAGTAGAGAATGCCAACCGGACCTTGCTCGAGGGCCTAAAAAAGAAGCTGGAGGCCGAGGGCGGTGGCTGGGTGGAAGAACTCCACAACATCCTTTGGGCCTACCGCACCACCCCTCGGCGAGCAACAGGTGAAACACCCTTCTCCCTATGCTACGGTTTTGAAGCCAAAGCTCCTACGGAAGTCACCCTTCCCACCCGGAGGGTGATCCAATATGACCCCGAGGTCAACGACAGCAACATGGCCCTCGACCTCCACCTCATTTCAGAACGCCGGGAGCAAGCCTTCATCCGGGCAGAAAACTACCGAAGGCAGGTCAAGGGCTACATCGACGCCAAAGTTCGCACCCGAGAATTTCAAGTGGGGGACTATGTCCTCCGGAGGAGGGAAGCCAGCCAACCAACCGAGGGAGGAAAAATGGCACCAAAATTCGAAGGCCCCTACATCATAGCAGCCATCATCAAACCTGGGACTTACAAGCTCAAACGCCCCAACGGGAAAGAGGTCCCTAGGCACTGGAATGTACACCATTTAGTTAAGTTTTACCAATAATGTAAGAGCGGCCAAGCCCTCATGACTAATGAATGTACTATCCTATGGCCCAAGGCCTCCACTTTTGAGGAATGAAGACACATTCAAGACACCACGCCCTCATACTGACTACAGGCCCCAGGCCTCACCACGAGAAGAACCCCCTCCGGCACCAAGTGCCGAGGGCGGACACCATCAACACCTACAACAACAGTGAAAACACCATGTGTTTTCGAACAAGACCCCTCGGTACCAAGTACCGAGGGTGGGAACTCCCATCACCGACGACAAGAAACACCAAGTGTTTCATTTCCCTTCGGCACCCAGTGCCGAGGGTACACCTCCATCATCAACATCAAAACGAAGAAAAACACCAAATGTTTCAAAGAAGACCCCTCGGCACCCAGTGCCAGGGATATGCTCTCCTATCAACTTCCAAACATCTGTTGGGAAACACCAAGTGTTTCCTCCGAAGGCCCTCCGGCACCAAACGCCGAGAGCGAACACTCCAATCAAAACACCAAGTGTTTCATTTGAAGACCCTTCAGTACCAAGTACCGGGGGCTACATATCGAAACTAACACCAAGTGTTGTTTCTAAAAGCCGTACCCCACGAGGACGCATATACCGAAGGCGCCACCATCGGTGCCGGCGGCACGTAGTGCCCCCGTCCATTTGCAACTAGTGTGCAAATGAAAACCCTTCCTTGAAACGCTTTCCGCGTCACTACCCCCAGGGTATGACAGGCATGAGAAATGCCCAGGATTCGACTTTCAAAAACGGAACGCTTTCCGCGTCATCACCCCAAGGGTATGACAGGCACGAGAAATGCCCAGGATTCGACTTCCAAACCGAAACGCTCCCCGCGCCACCACCCCAAGGGTGTGGTAGGCCACGGACTATGTCTAGCGCCGAGGGGACGACTTTCAAAAATGAGGCGCTTTCCGCGCCATCCCCCAAGGGGAGGCAGGATACAGACCATCATATCTTGTACCCAGGAAACGACCCTCGATCCCCTCGGAACTCGGAAGGTTAACCCGAGGGAGGAGAGCCATTGGTGTATTCTGATGGTCTCCTGATAGGCCCAGCCTTACCAAGAAACCAAGTTTCTTGATGCCTTCCCTTCACCACCAACCAAAAAAAAAGAAAAAAAAAGAGGGGGTGAAGGGGAGTAGATTCAGCGAGAAATCAAAGAGTACACTCCAACAGATCACAACATGCCGAGGGCTCCCCACGGGAACACCTCCGGTAATTGAAGGCTCCTATTTCCCGAAGGATACTACTCAAACAAATATCATCAAGGAACGGCTAAGTCCACTGCTTGGTCACCTCCGGTCACACAAGCACCGAAGGCTTCAACAATACAAAGGGACTGCCCTCCGGGAACACCTCCGGTAATTGAAGGCTCCTATTTCCCGAAGGCATCTGTTATGCACTAATACCGAGGGCACCCTACCCCATGACAAGGGACACAACTGGCTAAGCCAAACTCTACAACTTTTCAAGTATATGCCGAGGGCACATGACTCCTCATCGGTTTTCTTTACAACAACAGGATTCCACACTTTTCCTAAGTCCACACTTTTGGAAAATGACAACAACCGAAGGCTAATATATCATCCGACAACCGAAGGCATCTATTACAAATCATCAAAGGCCAACCGAGGGGGCTTATTTCAAAATATCTGCCCCTCGGACAGACTCCTCACTGACCGAAGGTTCAACATCTACAGCACACTTTGAGATTTTCCTAAGTCCCACATATTTGGCCCTCGGTCAAATACTCATACAACACAAGGGCCTCACGATCACCCGAAGGCGACATAAGGAAGCAGCACTTGGAAAAAATTCTAAATCCTAAAGATTGGGCCCCCGGCCCAATCAATATTACATCTAAGGGAATATGACAGCCGAAGGCTATGCGATACAACAGCACTTAGAAAATTTTCTAAGTCCTACATATTTTCCCCCCGGTAAACTACTCATACATCAAGAAGGGATGCCATCTCCCGAAGGCTCCCAAGGGAAAATCTACACTTAGAAATCTTTCTAAGTCCTACATATTTCACCCTCATCTCAAGGGACCTAATAGCCGAAGGCTACCTATCAATCAAAGGCTACAATACACAAAGAATCAACACTTAGAAAAATTTTCTAAGTCCTAACTATACCTGAGCCCTCGGTTGTATATCCAGCAAAGGGTGCCCAACTACCGAAGGCTACACCTGTATTCAAACATTTAGGAAAATTTTCTAAGTCCTAATTATTGTTGAACCCTCGGGTGCCCAACTACCGAAGGCTACAACCGTATTCAAACACTTAGAAAATATTCTAAGTCCTAGACATACATTCAAAAAGGGCGAATGCATACACTCAAGAAAAAACGACGGCATACATTCAAGAAGAAATGAATTGAAGAAAACAAGCCATATATACAACCTCGCAAAAAGGAGTAAATGTAATTGTTACAAACAGGACGAAGCCGAAGGATCAATGGTGTTCATTACAAGAGTTTGTTCAGAAATTTCTAAGTACAAATTACACATCAAACAACGTCATTCCCGGGGGCCGCCTCCCCCGATGGCTTCAAGGTGACCTCTGCATCGGCCTCAGGTTCATCACCCTCGGCTTCCCTTCGGAGCTTAGTATCCTCAAGGTCTGGCCTCTCGACATCGGAGGGGAGAGGAACACGGATGTCTGGCTGCAGGGGGGAGCCCGTATGCCGCCGGGTCAAAGTCCTTCGGCTCAATCTTCAAATGGCGAGCCATCCTCCGGTAGATGAGGGCTTGAGTGAAAAACTCGCCCCCATCATAATATTGTTTACCCTTTCGGGCCATCCATTCCTCGCCCGGGCCCTCGCACCACTCGTCGACTGAGGCCTCCACAACTGAGGACAGCCACACCTTGTGCCCCTCGGTCTTCCACCCCCCGTCCAGGAACCCGGAAATGGCCTCCTCCCAGGCTGTGGCTACAGCCTTCGCCCTGATGGCCTCGGCCTCCTCGGCGGCTCTCCTTGCGGCCTCCGCAGCAGCCTCCTCAGCTCTTGCCTTCTCCTCCCTGAGCCTCCCGGCCTCCGCTCTCGCAAGCTGGAGGTCCTCTTCAAGCTGGGCCATCAGCTTCGTGGCCTGGGAGTCCCTGAGGATTAGCTCCTTCATCTTGGCGTCTTGCCCAGCTTTGTGGAGGCGCCATTCCTCCAGCCGTCGGAACTGCTCTCCGAGGGCAACGCAAGTCTACAAAAATAAAGGAGTTGTCAGGGCCGAACGTGATTTCCTAGTTCGAAGTAGGAAAGAGAAAGACAAACTGTCATAAACTTACCGTGAGGGAAGACCGGAGGATCCTGTCTTCGAGGGCTTGATCGTCATCGGCCCCGAGGGCTGCCCTGTCGATATCGAGGGTTATACCTCTCAGGAGCGCCCTCGGGTCAGCCGTGCCATTCAACACGGCCGTGCCAGCCGGAAGGGAGAGCGTAAGGACCTCGAGAGATGGCTCCCGGGCACCCCTCGGCACCTGCGCCATCGGCATCTCCGGAGGGTCATCTACAATCACCACCGGGGGGTCATCCTTCGCGGCGTCCCCCTTCTTCGATTTCTTGGGGGCCTGGGGGGGCTCCTTTGCCGTCGGCTTCCTCTTCGCCGCAGCAGCATCGCCCTCGGGCTTCTTGGGAGGCGCACCGACGGGCTTTTGGCCGCCGGCGTCCGACCCCTTCGGATCCTTGGCCGGCTTGTTCTTGAATCGAGCGAGGCCTTTGACGTTCATCATGTTCACTGGGATACCTGCAAAACAATGAGGGGTTAGGATCGAGGGGTCACTAATAAGTGGCATAAAGAATAAACGAAGCGAATAAACAACGTGCTAAGATATGAGGGTGAGAATGCCCTCAGCCACTACCTCCGGAGGCTCCCTCAAACACTGGGAACTTCTCATCTGTTTCCCCCAGGAACCGGTACCGCCGGAACCCGAGGGTGTAGAGATCTCCTTCCTTGGTGCACTCCTTGATGGTGATATTCTTGTCCCGGCCCTCTGGGATCATGTCCAGAATCCTGCCATCTTTCTCGAGGGCGGCGCTCCTCCTCTTCTCGTGCCTCCTGAAGCGGTCATGTAGCTCCCTCTGGAAGGGGCTCTCGGTCAGCTTCACATAGCACCACCGGTCCTTCCACCCCTTGTTCGAGGAGGGCGCCTCAGTGAAGAGTTTGAACATGGACACCTGCTGCAAATTGGCGAATCCCTCGGCATTCGCGTGCCCCCCCGGCACAAGTTGAAGCTCTGGAAGAAGAGGTCCAGGCTAGGTGTCACCCCCCGGGACTTGCAGAGCTGAAGGAAGCCAGTAATATAAGAATGGTTGTTCGGGGTCAGCTGGCAGGGAACCAGACCCACGAACCAAAGGTACTCCCGGAGGAAGGGGTGCAGGGGGAAGCGGAGCCCCATGGATACCGAGAGAACGTGCACCGCAATGCAGCCCTCGGGAGCCCGGGAGAGGACGTCATCTGGACCCGGTGTCACCACGATGGCCGAGGGGCCCACGTGAAGCTGGGTGACATAGATGTCCGCCGCATCAACCTTCGACTTGATCTCCAATGCGGCGGTGTTGAGGTAGGAGTACCCCTCGGGCATATCGAGTGGCTTCCCTTGATCTGCGACGCTCCCCTTTTTCTTGGGAACAGCTACCTTAGCCTTCTTCTTCCCGGGGGCCACCCGGATGGGAACTGCGTCCAGCGGCCGAGAGGTACTGGCCTCACCAGCACCCCGAGGGGGAAGGACGGCCACGGTCACCCTCGTCCTCTCTTTTGCTTCCTCCTCCTCTGCAACCTGCATGGCGAGGGCCAGCTCTTCGTCTTCAACCTCCTGCTCGAAGCCCTTGGCTTCAACTTCAGCCAGCAGCTCCTTTTGCACCTCTACTGCCATCACAACGTCCTCCTGGGCCGAGGACTGTTCGTTTGAGGACTCCATATCCGAAAGGACTTCATCCTCCATCGAGGGCGCCCCCGAGATGTCTTGAGAATCACTCTGGGACGACATTCTAACTCTAGCTCGAGGGTTCGGGGGAACTAAGGTTTTCTAGAGAATTCTATCTCCTAACCTAAGGGCACAAGGCACAGCTAAACTAGAAGGAGAAGGGCAGGGGGGAACTGACCTTGAGAACAGAGGATTCAACCGAGGGCAAGTTTCTCTCTCTAGAAAATTTTTGCCAGAGCTTCGCTACACTGAGTTCGCACAGCGGGGAATGGCTCTGGCCTTGGGGTATTTATAGGCGCTGGAATCCGGGCTTGGGTCTGGATTCCGGGCCTCCGGATGGACCGCCATCATTACACACCGCGTCTTCGCCCAACCAGTGATGCCGCCCACGGACAGCTAACCATCACGCGCCACGTGTACCCCCAACGGCTATATCCCGACGGTACGTATTCCAACGGCTATATTTCCAACGGCTATATTCTGGGAGCCCCCGGACCTTTTTTACTTCACTCCACTTCACCAAGGAGAGCCTCCGGGTACACTTACCCAGAGACGCCCCCGGTTTGTGCCCCACACAGTACATAACAGACGCCTTCGGCATCACTCCTTCAGAAACCCAAGGCTTCATATCAGGCCACCCCTCGGGGATTCCCCCTCAGCACTATAAGAACCGGGTAGCCCCGGGGGAGTTGCCTCATTGACGGATAGCCTACGGCACACAGGTAATGGGAGCCCCCAGATATCCCCATCACCAACTAATCAGCAAGCAGGGGACCCCCCGGTGACAATTCAACTACTGCCCTCATCCATCGCGCCCTCGATCCCCAGATTGAGGGGCTCCCCTTCGGCACCCCCGGGACATCAACAGCAAGCCTTCGGCTAATCAACACATGAGCCCTCAGAAAAAGGAGAGCCTTCGGCATTACCGTTATTCTCCATTTTTGACCAAGGTTTCACATTTTCGATTCATCGTTGGGGGAATTCGATGCACTCTTTTTCCCTCATTAGGATTTTTCCCCCCAGGGTTTTTCCTAATGAGGTTTTTAACGAGGCATCCCCCCAAAATGAAACGAAAAGCGTCAGCCTTCGGCCCACAACAGCAACACAACTACTCTACTCCTTTTCACCACTTTACAAGTGCCTCAAGGAGTGGGGGGACTCGAGGACCCCCTCGGGAAGATCATTAAATTACAAAATTGGTGAAAAATTCCAACAAACGGCAAAGCAAGCCCTCAAGTCCCGACATGTGGGTAACTGAGGGACTGCCTTCGGCAGGGACATGCAAGCAACAAACCAACCTCAGAAATTACAACGGAACAACGGCAGGGGACAAACACAAATTACTCCTTTTCCCTCAAGTACCTTTCGGCAAAAGGAGTGAGGGACTCCTGATGGAGTATATGGCCCGGGAACACCCGGCCCACAGACTCCTACTACTCCAGTGGAGGCCCAACAGGCCCAGAAGGCCCAACAGGCCCAAATCACGGCGCCCAGAGTACCAAGCAGCCCGTAATACGCACCAGAGGTGCCTTCGGCCCCCTGGCCGAAGGCTCCAAACTATCACATCATGGATATTTCGAACAAACAGAGGAACTGGGAGAAAACGGCGAAAACAGTAGCCCTCGGCACCTGGAGCCCTCGGCACTCAGGGGTCCTCGGCACTAAGAGCCCTCGGCTAGTCCTCTGCAGCCGAGGGCACCTCTCCCGACATGATATCCACCTCACATGCGTACAGATCACCGTACCCTGTACAGACGTCCCATCCAACAGCCGCATTAAATGCGGCTACATGCGGCTGCCAACGCCAACCAGTTGAGGTGACCTCTCGGCCAATAGGCGCTTGACACGTGTCCCTGTCCGGCATTTATTGCTACTATAAATAGCACCCCATTTCCCCATTTGTAACCACGCCTTAAACGCTTAATACATATCGAATACACACTCTCTCTCTTACTTATTTGCTCTGACTTCTCTCTAGTTATTCTCCGCAATAACCCCTCGGATAAGCTACCCCCGAGTACACTATCCATCAATGTAGTGATGGAATATATGGCCCAGAAATTCCCGGCAGGTCCAGATGGGCCAAGCCCAACAAACATACGCATGTTGTGCCTTCGGGCTCACGCGCCGAAGGCTTTAAACTCAGGAAACCTGGTCTAGAAACATCACCAAAGAATAGGGCTTGAAATAAGAGCCTTCCGCACATACAGCCTTCGGCATTAAGGACCCCCGGTGTGCAGGGCCTTCGACCCTGGCAGATACGGCCGAAGGCACTATTCTCGACAAGATCTCCTCTCCCCATGCACTGAATCATCGCATCAAGTACAACGTCACACCCAAACCACCGCATTGAATACGGCCACGTGCTATGGTCGGCGCCACCCTAGTTGAGTTCACCCTCCACCGCTGGTTTCTTGACACGTGTACCCTCGCTGATTAGATCTAGCATTTATAACTGCTATAAATAGCAACCAATTTTCCCATTGTAACACAACTTTCTATATCAAATACCTACTCTCTCTCTCTTACTTATTGCTCTGACTTCTCTCTAAGTTATTCCCCGCAATAACCACTCGGATAAGTTACCCCCCGGGTACACCATCCATCATGTAGAAAATTAAAAGTGCATCGCTTAAAATTAAAATATTACTCCCTACGTTCCCCTATAATTGTCACATTTTTCCATTTTTGGATGTCCCATTATTATTGTCACATACCATATTTGGTAACATTTGTGTGGCTCTAATTGATTATTACTTTATTTCCACCTTATCAACTCATTACCAACCATGTCACGCCCCGGACCTACCCGGACACGTCAACAACCCGCCGTACAGTACGAATAGTCAACCGCAGTCCAACTCGTTCATACTATACAAGGCGTCTTGAATACCATTCACACATAGTGCATCCATAAACAAGCATAATGTAAATCATTCATTTAAAACAGCGGAAGCATTTAATAAAGATGTCTTAGCCACACTTTGGCAAACATGGGCATACAAGCCCCCAAATAGTTATTCAAAAATAATATCCATGAGCATTGTTATAATTGTTTTGAAAAACAGGAAACAGAAGAAGCACGAACCACGTCTTCTTCCTTTGAAAGTCCCTGAAGCAACGGGCACCGGTAGCAACCTTCAAGTCCTACCTGAAACTGTGAGGTGGCCTCCCCCGTGAAGGGGAGGTCAGTACTTGGAAATATTTGACAAGTACAATAGCAACTATACTAAGTATAATCAACGTTTTAATTTCCAAGACCCCCGACTTAGGCTACTATTATATTATAGGCCATAACCCTCGGTTACCCCTTTTTACCTCTAACTGTACTTACTTTACATAAAGTTAAGTAGTCGGCCCGTAGGCCCATATTCATTTAGAATTCACCGTTCTCATTCCCCCGTGACCGCGAGTCACGATAACCCCGTGGGGTCCCATCGAGCCCCTATTGTATAGCATGGGCTCGGCCCAACTCCATCTCTATACAATCCTCTAACTCGATGTATCATATCAAAATTTGTATGGCAAGGGCTCAGCCCAACTACGTTTCCATACCAACCATAACTTCGTGGCAAGGGCTCGGCCCAACTACGTTTCCACGGAGGTCACATATACATGGCAAGGGCTCGGCCCAACTACGTTTCCATGCTAATCATATTACATGGCATGGGCTCGGCCCAACTACATCTCCATGTCATCCTAGAGTCCAACTCTAATAATTTTCATGATCAAGTTCTCAAGCAAGTCCTATGCCTAGAATCAATTTCCGGAGGTAGCCTTTAGGCCTACCCCTAATCACTCCTTAGTGTTCATACCATTCATCCTTAAGTATCTCTTAAGACTACTTAAGGCATATCTATTCACAATCCTACCTCTTAGGATTTATTTCATCATTTATTTATATTAATTCCCCAACTAGTGTTTTGATACTAATTGGATAACCTTAGAACATGCCAAGTTCCTATTTCCCATGTTGCATTTCATTTCCATTGATTTCTCAATCCAAGTATAGTTAAATCTCAATATCAAAAATATCACTTT